ATCGGGGGCTTCGTGTTATCGAAGTCCCGATACTGGAAAGCCCTGACATCTCCTCTTCCAACCCCTGCTGCAGTGACATCCGATGTGGCTGCTGTGGCAGATGTCTGTGCTAGAGCTGCAAACCGCTTATCAAAGTAGTCAACCATCACGGTCTTAATCGACCCAAACATCTCCGGCAGCTGCGCTCGGAACGCCGTAGCAATCTCATCGTGCAGAATCTCCCGGATCCAGGCATCCAACTCCTCTTTCCCTATCTGTACCACGGGCTTTGGTGCTACCGGCACCTCCATCCCTTCGTCTCCCGATCCTAATCCTGATCCTGACCCTGAACCAGATCCAGTAGTAAAACGTCTCATCACCACCATACTGAAAAATATAACCAAGCCATCAGATAAATGACATGATATCGGAAGACCAATTCCCATAACCCTAGGGGTTGTGACTTCCTTGCTACGCGTATGGGTCCTGTGCTTTCAGTAGTACGGGCCCATACTACCTTCCACACCTACCCATATTTGTCTCAAGTATCATCACAACTCCCTAACACTATCATCAACATAATATGTGCTCAACCCTCAATTCTAGGGGAATATTGACTATCTCGCAACTGATCTTACAGCTTACACATCCTTGGAACATTCACTAACCCTGCATCACTAGTGTATGCTAGCCACACATAACATTGGACCTGATAGACTTTCGAATATCTAACCATACACTAAATTCGAATCAGACATTCGCAGGCTATAAGATCTTGATTATACACAGCCATGATGCATACACTAAACATCTACAGTTATGATGTCAATTCCATATACAAGAAACCCTAGGCTAGTAGGCATCATATAGATAGGCAAATCTTATCATGCGATTCCTGGAGACTCCTAGCCTAGCACTAGCATGTTTTTCTATCATATCATAATATCAAATAACTATATGGTATTTTGGGGATTACTTACAGGCTCAGGTTGATCGTACCCTCTGCATCCTCCATCCTTATTTTGAAAACCATTTTAGTATTTTTCCGAAAATTCCCTTGATATGAGATTGGATTCACATGAGTGTTACTCCAATTCACTCAAACCAAGGCTCTAATACCAACTTGTAACATCCAAAAATTTGACGCCAAATTTAAATTTTTTCAATCACAAATAAAACCAAATAGAATTTGTTTACAAAAATGTTTTCAAATCATTATTCATCAGAGTGTCCCAATAGCTAGATCAAAAGGATGAGGAGCGGTACGGTCACGCATTCTCCTTGCCATGATCTCCTGAAGTACTTGAAACAAAACTAAAAACTGTAAGCCCGATAGCTTAGTGAGCTACCCCCAAAATACTAATACCACGCTAATAATACCATATCAGTAACAGACAATCAACAACAATCATACTGGGCCATCGTCCTGACTACACCGCCCTGCAGGGCCTTTAGTCTATCTGATCTTATCCCAAGCCTTCGGCATGATTGGGCTGCCATGTGGGCCTACAGTCTCCCCGGACCGCTCATAGAGTGTGTTTGCCTTCAGCACAAACAAGGACCGCCTCAACCCAGCCGACAAGCAAATAACCATGTGCGCATAACTATCATATACTGGCATATACAAACATCAAACATATGTATATTTTACTGATCATCAATCACATAAATCTCTCGTGACTAGAGTACCGACCTATTAGGTCACTAACATACCAATCCCTACGGATCATAAGAGCATAATATACTGTCTATCCTGGTTCCGATCTAACATATCATAACCACATGTATCACATCATAACAATAACAACTTAAGGGTCGTCCTTGGTGCCATAGACCCTATGGATATAGTGAGGATAACTCACCTTGCAGATGTCGACTTAGTAGATGAACTCTAACTCTCGTATCACTGTCAAAATCTCCACCACCTATTTCCATAATATAATTATACCCATAAGTTCCCAACCTTTCAAGGTATCCCAAGAACCAACTAATCAGACCCTGGTCCAAGTCAAAGACCTCGGTCAAGGTCAAAAGTCCATGTTGACCCTGCTCGTCGAGTCCCCACGGCTACTCGTCGAGTTCCTTAAAGTACTTTTCCACTCGCCGAGTTATGGAGTGACTCATCGAGTTCATTTGGTTTACGATCGAACTCTAAGGCCACACGTCGATTTTTCCTTCTTGCAACTCGACGGTCACATACGCATACATAATTTGGGTAAAACTTAACTGACTCGGCGAGTTGTTCATACACTCGTCGCATCCTAAGGCAATCTTCAACGGACTCGCCGAGTTGTTCATCCAACTCATCAAGTCCAGGCTTATCTTCATATGATTCGCCGAGTCGTCCTTGCGACTCGCCGTGTTCCTTCGGTCCATAAGCTATACAGACTCTTTTTAAGCCATGCAGTGGCTCCAAATTACATATCCAAGCTTTTAAGGCATGCATTTCATGTATGCATGGCTACAAAGGCCCAAAATGTCAAATCCAAGCTTACAATGGGGTTTCATACTCAAGGAAGGTTTCATACATGGCCAAGTTCATAGCTTTCTGACTTTAGAATCCAAGTAAGGTCCAAATCTAAAGTTACAACTTCAGATCTAGCTCATAACCCACATTATTATCTCAATATGCCATAGAAGCCCTAATTCTCAACCAAATGAGGTTTAGGAGGAAAAATGAAGTAAAGATGGCAACTTGATACCTTTAAGTCATGCCTACTGAGGTAGATTTCTGATTCCCACACCTTCCTTGCTCCTAATTTCTTGTCCTCCAAGCTCTTCCTTTCCAAAAACTCCTCTCTAAAGCTCAAGACACACAAGGATGAACACCACTTGGCTTAGGGTTTCTCAATGGACTGTAAAGAGTCTAAAGGGGCTTATGCTTCTTAAAATAGGGTGCAAAACCCCGGGATTTAGGGTTCCATTTGCAGACTCCTACTCGTCGAGTCCCTCTATGGACTCGGCGAGTAGGCCACTAAATACGCGATCCCACCTCGCTGCTACTCGACGAGTAGGGCAACAAACTCATCGAGTAGGTCTCAAAACCAAATAACTTTCATTTAAACCCATACCTGAGAATCGGGGCGTTACATATATATATATATATATATATATATATATATATATATATATATATTGATGACATGCCCCTCATAACAGGCCAGGAATAAGGGTACTCCCCAGTTAGGGATCTCCAATGAGGCCCGGCCAGGCCCAGACATCGGCAGTAATCCCATGGCACGACGGACACTAGAAATAATCCCATCCTTGTTATCTCCCACGTTCTCAGTCGAAGGTTCCCCCAGATGGCGAGAAATCAGGGCAGGGGATAGGGAGATATCTGGAGCTGACTAGTCCCCCGTCACAGAGCAACTCCTTAGCGGTTGTGACGAAGTCACAACAGGGGCACTATAGCAACAAGGTGGTGGCAAAACCTCATAAAGAGCCACCACACGGTGCTCTAACTTCCCCTGGTACCGCTTTCGCAGAACGAAATCTATGGAAACAGAACACTAGGTACCTATAAAGAACAACAATAAGACTTGAGACATTGTTCCCTCTCTTCATCAAAAAAAGGGGGAAGAGGGGAAGTAATCATGACTTACCATTAAAGATAGCATAGAAGCCTGACATCTCCTTCCGAGCATGCCAGCTAGGGATTATTCCAAACCAGCAAGCAATACCTCCGATTACACATTGATGTCCACCTGTACAGTATGTAAGAGATCGGTAGTCGCCTAGTTGTGGGGAAATAACTTGGGAGTAACATCCAACAAGCATTCAATTAGTGGTACTCCCTGCCAAGCAATTCCTGCTTAACCCACAACCATTTTTCTTTCCAGTTTTTCGGTGGTTTGTTGTCAAGCACAAGGTTGTGGCCTCCGCGATGAGCAAAAAAGGTGTATTTATCATTAGTGGCCGCAAATCAGAAGAAGAACTTGAAGACGAAGAACTCGGGAACAATGTCGTTGTCCCGACATATCATCTCAAAGATCACCATTTTATGAACAACACTAGGGGTCAACATCTAAACGTTTCAGCCATTGTGACAAAGCAATTTCTCTTGAAAGTTGGTTAAAGGAAGACGAAGGCCATCATCAAAAGTCTTCAGAAAAACAACTACCTTTTCGGGTGGCGGTGAAGTGATCACAGCACCGGACGTCGGAAATTCTAATCCGTCAGTCGACGTAAGGCTGTACGCTTCCTGGAGCAAACTCGATGGAACTAAGGATCGATCAGTCACATCGCCAAAATTGAAGCGACAACCAAGCAAATTCGCGACATGTGTATCAGTTGTTACGTCCAGAACATCATAGCTAGCTAGCAAACGCTATGATTACTAGACTGGGGGACTTGATGACATGCCCCTAAGAGCGGGCCGGGAATAAAGGTACTCCCTAATATGGCCACCCCAGCAAATCCCCAGCATGGCCGCCCCAGTGGATCCCCAGCTGCTAGGCACCCAGCGGGACGACTGCATGGAAGGCCCAACCTCGCCAAGAGGCACCTTCCACTACAGGACAAGGATAACGGCTCCAAGCGACAAGGAGCACATCCAGAGCATTATCACCTGGACCAATCATTGTGCCTGACACAACGAGGAACACGACTCACCAATAGGGACAGCAGATCTTGTCGGGACTGTAGTCCTTGTTCCTCGTACGGACCGAGTAGGATCCACAGTATGAAAGGATCACCACTTCTCCTTGAAGGGTAAGCTATCTCTCCTGATTCTTTGCGCTCACTCTCCAATACACTACTAACTTAACCGTCGAAGCTTTTTCCCGGGACCTCCTCCCAAAGAACGGCACACGGTTTTCTCTCTTTGTGACCTCTCAGGTTCCTCTCCGACGAACTCATCCTTCACCATGCAGGTGGTCGGGGCCCAGGCCGCATCATTTGGCGTCGTCCGATTGTGTGATTACAGATATGAAAACCCATTTTCCTCTTTAACCCAGTAAAAAATGACGAACGAAGCCACCAGTGAGCTTTCGGAAACACCATAAAGCCCGATATGACCAATGATCTCACTGGAGATGGCCACCACCCTAGTAAGACCACCGGCTCAAGTGATTGGCACGGTATCTGAGACACCATCATTTGGTGGCCAGCTACCTTCTCTCAAAGCGGCTACACCTTTTGTCACAACCCAGAAACACATAACAATACCCACTCTGAACAGCACAACCCCATTATTGTTCCCCAACATCGGCGGACCCAACGTATTCACTCCGCCTCCTCTACCATTGTTTTTTCCTAACACCTGCGGACCAAGTAACATCGTTTATAGTCTAATATAGACACCCATTCACACCACAAACGAGTCACAACAAATGGCACTCGTAATACAACCGTTAACGGCGCAAGCCACTAACGGGCTACTCGCGCTCATGCACATGTTTGCAACCCCGACGAATAACGCCGCTAGTGGCCCAAGTGTTGCTTTCCAAGCACAAAGCTACCCATCATTAGTGAAAGGAGCCATGCCGACACCGCCATTCACACCATACCAGCAACTCCCCATTACCCACACATTTTCCACACCGTTCCAGCTGGCCCAACACTACCAGACCTTGTAGCATACAACAACATGTTGGTACAGCCATTTCTAGCAATGCAACAGTCGGATACCACTTTGCTCAATGGACACCGTACCAAAACTGCCTCTCGTGTAGTGTCACATCACCATTCGTGAAAGAATTGTTGGAATATGAGATTCCCAATACTACCAAGCTACCCACCTCAAAATGTACAACAGCACCACAAACCCGGATAGCCACATCAACACATATGAGTAGACGATGACATCTCTCAAGCTAGACGAACGCTTCTGGGGCACATACTTCCCTACTACTCTAAATAGCAACGCAGGGACATGGTTCAAAATGTTGCGCCATCAAAGCTCTGCAACTTTAGCCAGCTGAAATACCTCTTCTTAACCAGTTTCATGCAGCTCCGTAAGTACAAAGGCGATTGTCACTCTATTATCAGGTGTAAGCAAAGGGAGGGGGAGACAGTCAAGGATTACTTCGCTAAGTTCACCAAAGCAACATTAGACGTGTTGGGACACGAAAAAGGATTGATCGTAGGTGCATTCACTTGGGGGTTACTTCCCGGTTCGCTCTCCCAAAAGCTCGTGGGAAAACAACCTCAGACGAGAGCAGAGTTAAAAGAGCGATTGGAGTGTTTCCTATGCCAAGAAGAAGGTGAAGCGTCAAAGCAAGCATACCTCAACGCCATGTCATCCCTAGCCAAGAAACGACACCACCACTCAACCTCCTACCACGATCCCCGTGGAGGGGGTAGATTTTTAGGGCGAGACAAGCAACCACATGGATGAGTCAGACCCTTCGCAAGGGACGACAGGAGAGGAAGACGAGCATAAGTTTATGCTATTGCCAAAAAACCAACAGCAAAGGGTACTAAGATGTGATATATTTGTGAATACCATAAGAGTAGGACACATGACACGGTCAACTACTTGATTTTAAAACGGGAGATGGAAGATAAAACACCGAAGTAAATGTGATAGAGATCGCCAAAAGTCTACGAGCTAAATTTGATGTAGAAAACCCTGATATGTGCATAATTAGTTAATTATTTAACATATATTCTTAGTTATTTTTGGTTAATTATGAAAAAAATGTGGACAAAAGGTACTTAAAATGCTTTGAATTGTGTTTTCAGTCCAAAAGATATGCTTGGAGGAAAAGAGGAGAAAAGGAAGTACACGATGATATGCCAGAAGATAAATATGACTGCTAATCTAAAGACGGATAAGTATTGACCTACTCGGCGAGTTGATTCTGATACTCGCCGAGTACCCTCTGTTTTGGGATATCTTTAAAAGACGAATCCTTATCTCATGGGACATAACTCCTGGCGAATTTTGAAGGATTAGCTGCGACTAAAAGGTTCAGAAGGCGCTGAGGAACCCTAAGCTTCAAGAGTTGGAAGAATTCAAGCAATTAGGTTAATTCTACCACTTAGACTTAGGAATTAAACATGTTTGCTTTCATAAACTTTGTTTTTATGCTTGTTTCTACTGCAACTATGAGCTAAACTCGTTTTTGTTTCTGTTTGGGGAATACCAAAGAACTCCTATGGTTTAATTATTAAATTTTGTTTAATTGTCTATTGGTGATTTATTAAATTAAGTTTGTTAAAGAACCTTATGTATTAATCACTACTATTTTCTGTTAATTGGAAGGCAATTAGGTTGCATGAACATCACTTAATTGTTAACCTCATATGTCTATGTGAATGTTAAAACATATGCTTGGAAGTAATGAGTATGAAACTAAGATTAATAAGAAAATAGGAAGATTAATGTGTTAGCTTGTTTGAGAAACCATCAACAAGAGGTTAATTGAATTAATAACTTAATTGACCATTACAAATCTTATTTAATCCAAATAATTAATCTGGGGAATTAATTAGTTTAAACACTTGATCAACGCTTAAATTAGTTAATTGTCTAAGGGTTAGGAGTAATGAACATCAACCTAACTACTATCATTGGTAACCAATAGCAATTAATCTACCTTAACTTAAATAACCATAGGAGTGAATTGGTTGAACCTAAATAGAAACATCTTTATCAAATTTGGTGAATAGTTGTTGCTTTAGTTAATTAGTTAATTTAGTTTGTTTAAGTTTCTAGTCTTGCAAAACTAGAGAAAACCCCCTTTCTATTACTTGTTTTATTTAGATAATATTAGCATCTATTTTAATTGTTTACCGTTCCCTGTGTTCGATACCCTACTTACCTGAACTAAACTGCTAATCGATAGGTACACTGCCTTTCGTGTGTTTGTCTTTGCGTTTAAGTTAGTAGGATTAAAACTAGTTTGTTTCACACACATCAACCCTAAACACAATGCAATAGGAGCAGACTACCGACAAGAAATCCTCATGATTCGCTACAAGCAGGGGGGAGCAGAATGTGCAACAAGCGTGCAAAGCATCACGAAAACCATGCAAGGGCTAACTTTCTCTAAGAATGACCCAAGCCTAGCCGAGTGGAAAGAAGACAACCCTCTCATTATTCAGGGCTCCACTCGAGACACCATGATCCACCAGGTGTACATTGACACGGGGAGCTCTGTCGACATCATCTAGGAGCATTAATTTCGGTTTCTACCTGACGCATGGAAGGATGGATTACGACCAACTGCAGGGCAACTCACATGATTCACAGGGCACAGTCTGTGGCCCCTAAGTACGATCCACTTATCGTTGAAACTCACTAACCAAGACAAGACCAGGCGACGGACTACCCTTGTAGATTTCATAGTCATACGACACCCATCCGAACATAATGTCATACTGGGGTGAACCGCCCTACTAAAATTCGGAGCAATCTCATCAACGATTCACAGAATAGTAAAGTTTAGCACAAGCCAATTCCCAGGGACAATCCTAGAAACACTCCCAAGGGAGCTCAAATGCTACAAGATTATGCAACCAAAGGACATTTCAACGGAGGCCAAGAGTCCGAAGATTCATCACGCAGGGGGGAGGTAATCAATAAGGAATACCCAAGCCAACAAGTAAATGTGGGAACCGCCCTTCCCACAGCAACAAGGAAAACAGTGATCCGATTTCTACAAAAATACAAACACGTGTTCACCTGGACACCCATAAACATGGTAGAGTTGATCGGGGGATCATAGAACATAAGTTGATGATAAAACCAAGGGCCAAAGAGGTAAAACAAAAGAAGCGTGTCTAGGGAGGAGATCGAAACAAGGAAATTAATGTAGAAGTGGCTAAATTGACCAGGGATCCTTAGGGAAGCAATTTTCCCAACATGGATCGCCAACCTAGTAATGGTGAAAAAGCACGATGGAAGTTGGTGCATGCGTATTGATTACTCGGACCTCAACAAGTCATGTCCCAAAGACCTCTACCCACTACCATAAATAGACCAAAAGGTAGAATCTCTACAGGGATTCCAATGGAAATGTTTCTTGGATGAATACAAAGGATAACACCATATCCTGATGAGTAAAGACAATGAAGAGAAAACAGCCTTCTACACAGATCATAGTGATTTGGGCTATACAAAGATGTCGTTTGGATTAAAGAATGCTAGAGCAACTTACCAGCAGCTGGTCGATTCTCTATTTGCCAATCAAATCGGCAGGAACATCGAGGTCTATGTCGACAATGTGGTCATCAAAATCCCAGACGAGCAAAGACTGTTACACGATGTGGAGGAAACACTAAAAACCTTGGAGAAAGCAAAAATGAAACTAAAACCCACCAAATGTACCTTCGGAGTAGAGGAGGGGCAATTCCTCAGATACTATGTTACAAAGGAAGGAATTCAGTCGAGCCTGGTCAAAATCAATGAACTTAAAGACTCACCTTCTCCAAACACACTAAGGGATGCTCAAAGGACTGTACGGTAAACTAATGGCGCTAAATCATTTCATCGCTAAGTCAGCCGAGAAAGTCGTGCCTCTATTTCACACACTTGTGGGATGCATTGAAAAGAACAATTTTCAATGGACAACGGAGGCCGAAGCCACACTGCAAAGAATAAAGAAATCATTGCACACGCTCTTTACGCTAGCCAACCCGGTACCAGGCGAGACGTTGTAGGTGTACCTATCCACATCGAAAGACGCTATTTCATCGGTGCTAGTAGTCGAAAGGCAAGGAAAACAACACCCGGTCTACTTTTTGAGTCGAGCCCTGCAGGGGCCAGAGATTAACAACCCAGTCATGGAAAATCTGGTGCTCGCCTTAATCTACGCGGCACGGCGGCTCCGTCGATACTTCCAGGCCCACTAGATAGAGGTGTTGACCAGCTGCCCGATTAAGCAAGTACTCTTAAAGTAGGAGAGGTCCAGGCGCCTCGCAAAATGGGCTATAGAACTGGGAGAACACGACATCAGTTATCATCCCAGAGTGAGTATCAAAGGACAGGCACTGGCAGACTTCCTATTGGAGATTCTGAGAGAGCTCCAGCATGAAATGACAGATATTACCCAGCGAAGGCACCCAGAAGAGAAGATCGACCAACGATGGACCCTCTACACTAATGGAGCTTCCAGCAAGGAAGGCTCATGATCGAGCTTAATCCTAACCATCTCCACAGGCGAGGAAATCACTTACGCCTTACGCTTCAATTTCTAAACCTCCAACAATGAAGCCAAATACGAAGTCATGTTGGACGGCTTAAGATTTACGGTAAAAATAGGGGCGGAGAAGATAATAGCTCTAACCGACTCACGCCTAGCAGCCAACCAGGCCTGTGGAGAATTTGAAGCAAAGGATAAATGAATGGAAAAGTATGTTAAAGCAGTCCAACGGATCACAAGTTCACTCAAGAGTTTCACCATACGGTAGATTCCAAGAGGAAAGAATAGGCAAGCAGACACTCTAAGCAAACTCGCATAAACATGTTGTGGGCACCTCTCCAAGGAGGTCCTAGTGGAAGTAATAAAAGAAAGGAGCATCGAAGAGCGCTAAGTTGACTCTTTATCCACGGCACGGCCCTGTTGGATGATACCCATTACAGACTATTTGTTGCACGGCATACCTCCTGACGACCACACAGAGGCACCCAAAACAAGAATACGAGCCCCCTAGTACGTAATCTTTGGGGGAGCATTGTATAGGAAAGGTTACACATGTTCGTGGCTCAAATGCATAGACAATGAGACTGGGAAGAAGGCTCTCCAAGAAGCCCACGTGGGATCAGCCAGAGCCCACGAGGGGGTGAGAGCACTCACGAGCAAGATACTATGCATGGGGCTCTACTGGCCGGATATACACCAAGATGCCACCAAATTGACCCGAGCATGCGTGGAGTGCCAGACTTTTTCACCAGCACAAGGCGTACCTCCGCCCAAACTAAAAAGTATCACCAGTACAAGGCATACCCCCAAACCAATGGACATACGGAGGTGTCTAATAGGACGCTAATGCACGGGATCAAAAAACAACTCGGCAAAGCAAAGGGCAATTGAGTAGACAAACTGCTAGAAGTATTGTGTTCGTATCGAACCTCACCACAAACCCGCACGGAAGAAACACCATTTAGCCTAGACTGCGGGGCCGAAGCGATGCTGCCAATATAGATGATGATGGGATCAATATGAATAAAGTATTGCCAACAGCAAACAAACGACAAGGATTTTAGGGAGAATTTAGATCTTCTGGAAGAACGCCGAGAGTGCTCAAACATCAGCCATGTCGCGTACAAAAGAGTAGCGGAGGGATATTATAATCAGCGAGCTAAAGTCAAGGCCTTTCGTGTCGGGGACCACATCCTACCGAAAAATGAGGCCAACCATGTGCAACCCCACAGAAAGCTAAACCAGGCATGGGAAGGACCGTACAATGTGGTAGAAGCACATCGCAATGGGTCACACTCCTTAGAGACACTCGAGGGAAGACAGGTCCCGAGAACCTAGAATGCAAGGAACTTAAGAAAGTTCCACTTTTGAGAGAACCCACAAACCCCTACACAGAAGTGAAAACGGTTCTAGTAAAACATCCCACAGCCGGATTGATCACCCGGACCGACAGACGGATGCTTACTGTAGTCCGATAGGGAACCTTAGTGTGTTGCCAAGTAGTATGTATCAGAATTACATAATGACAATAAAAAGAATGTTCTTAAATGCACTAAGCTTGATATGTTATGTGCCATGGGCATCTGTGATGAATTCAAAATGAAACGTAGTAGATACTTAGTGGATCCACACACACACACATACACATACTCACATAATGAAACACAAAAAGCCACAAAACGACAAGTCTTAGAATAAAGTCGTAATGCACAACAATACTTTTATACAGAAGGCTCAGCAAGCCCAAAATCCTAATGAAGAGTCATCTAAAAGCAACATACTCAATACATGCAAAAGAAATTAACAATGCAGACACACACAATGAAAAAAACCAATCAATATGAACAACCATAGATAGCATGATAGCACCAAAGCAAATAAAAGCAAACACGACCATTGCCGATTAATGTATAAGCAAAATCCCGCCATGAAAGTTCCAGGGCATACATAACAAAAGACCTCGAAGGCCACAAGTTACTATGTTACAAAAGGAAACAAAAACATGGAAAACATGCTTCACCAAATTTTTTCACACCCCGAAGGGTAGCTCTAAAAAACATCAAAGACCATTGGGTCCACACCATCATCTCCAGCACCATCGGCCGCTGCCCCACCCCCACCACTCGCACCAACACCATTCCTTCCAACAAGACCAACTACAACATCCCCCAAAACATCCTCAGCATCATCGAATGCACATAACACCCTCACCCCGTCCACGTCAAGTTGACCCAACCCAAGTAAACCTGCAAAATCCATAGTTGCAAAGGCCAGCAGAGCATCATCCAAACCCGAGGAATGGCTTGAACGACAATCACTAGCAGATGGATCATACGTCCCGGCATCAACCTACGCTTTCAAATTCGCGCAACTCAACTCTTCACCTGCAACAAACCCAGCAGGCGGATGCGACTGATACCCCCAGTGAATTCAGGATGTTCTATGACTTTATCCATCACACGCAAAAGCCCAACTTGGAGTAACCAATCGTGATCCGCCCTCAATGCTTCCAACTCACGGTCACGATCAGTAGGGTCACGTTCCAGACTCTCATTTTGAATCATCAGACCCTCATTGGTTTGCATCAATGACTCCATATGAGCCTCCAACGAGCTTCGAACATCTTTCAATGCTAGTTTCTCTAACACCAACAAATTGTTCTTTTGGTCCAATCGGTGAGCGGAACCTTCAAGCTCCACCACCCAACCCTTCAAATCAGCCTCGTTGACCGCCAAAACAGAGTGCACACACTCCAAATCGTCAAACTGTTGCACACATCGAGAGCCAGCGGACAGATAAGCCATAGCCTGCGCAGCAGCGTAAGCCATGTTGTGGGCAAGGGAAACATTATTCATCACATCCATATCCTCAACAGTAGCAGGGGGAGGGCATGTTGGGTAAACTCCAGGGCAACAGAATGAACAGACAAACTGGAATCCGCACGAAGACTCCACCTCGGAACAAAGATGGGGGCACCTTGCAAGGCCCCTGCAACAGAATTCTCATGGTGCGACCACTTGGCGCTACCCCTTGAAGATCGAGGACTAGCACAAAGACTCGAAGCAATCACAACAGGAACAATGGGCTGCTGAGACACCCTTTCAATACCCTCAGACTGTTGAACGTCATCAGCGGGTATTACCAAAACATCGCCATGATGGGATGGCGTAGAAGATAGCATGTGCATAAGCCTGCGGCGTTGCATCACACACCTGTCGATTTGGCCAGAACTACCTTCTGATGCCAACTCACTCATGACTTGAAAAGACTTTTGCTTCTCCGTGGTGCGATGGATGCTAGCAATAATCCCATCCTTGCTATCTCCCACGTCCTCGTTCGAAGGTTCCCCCGAAGGACGAGAAATCAAGGCAAGGGACAGGGAGACATCTGGAGCTGACTGGTCCACCTTCGCAGAGGAACTCCCCAACGGCTGTGACAAAGTCACAAAAGGGGTACTCAAGCAACGAGATGGAGGAAGAACCTCGTGAAGAGCCACCACACGGTGCTCTAACTTCCCCTGGTACCGCTTTCACAGATCGGAATCCATGTAAACGGAACCGTCGGTACCTGTAAAGAACAAAAGCAAGACATGAGACATTTTTCCCTCTTTCCATCAAAAAAAAGGGTGGGGGAGGAAGAGGGGAAGTAAGCATGACTTACCGTTAGAGACAGTGTAGAAGACCGGCATCTCCTTCCGAGCACGCCAGCTAGAGCTCATTCCAACACCAGCAAGCAACACCTCCAATAACACATCGATGTCCACCTGAACAGTACGTAAGAGATCGGCAGTCACCTGGTTGTGGGAAAATAACTTGGGAGTAACATCCAACAAAGCATTCGCCTGGTGGTACTCTTGGCCAACCAATTCCCGGTTAACCCACAACCATTTATCTTTCCAGTTTCTCTGCGGTTTGCTGTCAAGCACAAGGTTGTGGCCTCCGCGACGAGCAGAAAATGTGTATTTATCATTAGTGGCTGCAAATCAGAAGAGGAACTTGAAGACGAAGAAATCGGGAACGATGTCGTTGGCCCGACATATCATCTCAATTCTCAAAGGCCACTACCTTATGAACAACGCTATGGGTCAACATCTGAATGTTGCAGCCGTTGTGACGGATCAATTCCTCTTGAAAGTTGGTTAAAGGAAGACGAAGGCCAGCATCAAAAGTCTTCAGATAAACACCCACCTTTGCGGGTGACGGCGAAGTGATCACAGCACCGGACATCGGAAATTATACTCCGTCAGTCGACGTAAGGCTGTACGCTTCCTAGAAAGTAGCAAACTCGGAGGAACTAGGGATTGATCAATCACATCACCGAAACTGAAGCGACAACCAAGCAAAGTCGCGACATGTGTATCAGCAGTTAAGTCCAGAACATCATAGCTAGCTAGCAAATGCTATGATTACTGGACTGGGGGACTTGATGACATGCCCCTAAGAGCGGGCCAGGAATAAAGGTAGTCCCCAGCATGGTCGCCCTAGCGGATCCCCAGCTGCTAGGTGCCCCAACAGGACGACTGTGTGGATGGCCCAGCCCCGCCAAGGGGCACCTTCCACTACAGGACAAGGATAACGGCTCCAGGCGACAAAGACCACATCCAGAGCATTATCGTCTGGACCAATCATTGTACCTGACACAACGAGGAACATGACTCACCAATAAGGACATCGGATCTTGTCGGGACTATAGTCCTTGAGGATCCTCAGTATAAAAGGATCACCACTTTGCCTTGAAGGGTAAGCTATCTCTCCCGATTCTCATCCCTCACTCTCCAATACACAACTAACTTGACTGTCGGAGCGTTTTTTCGGAACCTCCTTCCGGAGAATGGCTGACAGTTTTCTCTCTTTATGACCTCTCAGATTCCTATCCTACGAACTCAACCTTCACCATCCAAGTGGTCGGAGCCCAGGTGGCATCATATATATAATATATATATATATATATATATATATATATATATATATATATATATATATATATTATATATATATATATATTATATATATATATAAAGAAAAAAACAAAAAGATGCATGTATAAAATAGATAAAGTGGGCAGGTGAGCCTCTGCACATGCATTCATATTCGCATGCATTTAATTTCAATTGTCAATAAATTTAATCAAAAGTGAGTGGGTTTGTGAACCCAATTTAATGCTTTAAACCAATGAACTCGTTGAACCCTCTTAAGATAGAACGGTTAACCGGCGGTACCGCCAAACCCTCTTAAGATGGAACGGTTAACCGACAGTACCGCCCTTTCAAACCGTTACGGTACCTTCCTCCCTAATCAATGACTGTGGACTTGGACAATTGAACTAACATGCATTCAATTGTTGGCCTAACCTCAATATAGTATTAAAAAATGGCTCCATAAAATATAGGCCTTGTGCTTATGTCTATTTTGCCCATGCTCTTCATCGGGCCTACTACAAAATAGAACGTTTTAAGGAACAATATAATGTAATTCAACTCACAACACCTTCTCTAACATATGGATATTCACACAAACTGCCCCTATTTAGTAATTTCATCTTGTTGCATCCAGTATTATAACTTTAAATGTGATTAAGGGACTGTTTGATTCCATGTTAACCCAGTTTGGTCAGACCCTTTTAACTGATTTGGTCCGGTAAGTGCCATTTATTTTGTATCTTATTCGATCCACAGTCAAATCCTCTTATTCGGTCCGCCAGAAAAAGACGCTGACTCGAAAAGTGGACACAGTTGCCCCTTGACTCATGTCCGCCATCCTTCAATCGATCGATTTGTTCCTACCACCACCACCATCGGTCGTCTTCTTATTTAACTATGCTTCAATAAGTTTCATGAAATCAATGATTCTCCATCCACCACCACCGGTTGTCTTCCTCTTTAATCCATTGTTTGGATTCAATTCATAAAATCGATTTCATGAAATATAGTAAAGCGTAGGGCTTCTGAAGATGCAGCTTCTAAAACTAGCAACCCCCGGTCGTCTTCCTCCGACCAGTCGACCGGAGACAGCCATTCCTCCTTCCGACCAAGTGGGTATGAAGACACAACTTCTAAAACTGGCAACCCCCCTCCCCGAGTCGTCTTCCTCCGACCAGTCATCCAAAGACCACCATTCTTCCTTCCGACCAGGTGGTTATCTTTTCCTGTTTGCTCTATTTTTGCTGAGATTTCGACTTGTTGTTCCTTTTCAATTTTGTTGTTAATTGTTGTTCCTTTTCGATTTTTTGTGACTTGTTTTATCTTCCAAACATGTTGCTTTGTTGTTGCTGAATTGTTGTGAGTTTTTCGATTTTGTATTTTGCTAAGAATTTTTTTTTAAAATCGATTCTTCAACATCAATTATGAAATCACATTTATGTATGAAAACAGATTATGAAATCACATTTATGTATGTTTAATTAGTTGGGTTTTTTCCTATAAGATCTTTAATATCACTTATGAAATTTTTAAAAGACATATGAGTAACGATAAATGATCTCATCAGATGGCAGATGGGAAATGTTACTCAAGGAGTGAAGATTAATTAGATTGGTAGAGAGAGGAAAGATTGGCCCAGTTAAGAACAAAAACTAAGAACACAAAAATAGTGCATAACATAATCAATAGTGAATTGTTGATTGCTAATATAACCAACCAAAACTGAATAAAACTGTGATATTATCAAACTCATGAATCTTGCCTTTGATAACATATAAAAACTTAAAGAGGTTCTAAACACAAAGCTTTCAAGATAATGAAGGGTATTTATGTCAATCTCTGAGCAGCCTCCTTAGCAAGAACCCTCTCTTTTGCTTTGGTTTTAGCCTGTGATTTAGACCCCATTATTCCACCACCCCATTTCTTTCTGTACTCCTCATACTTATCATTAAAATTGGCCTGAAACAACAACAGACATTCATTCATTTATTTCAGAATCAACCATAAAAATTCCAAAAATTCTTAAATCCATGAAACTTTATATGAAAACAAACCTTGATGGCTTCCAAGATTCTACTGAACTCCATCTTATCTTCATTCTTAACTGTAGTCAAGCACAGAGCAGCTGCAGTTTTCTGATGAACAATCTGATATAATATAACAGCAAACATGTTAGAACTAAAGCAAAACAATCAAGGGTATTTAAGGAAAAACACTTACAGTTCCCAAACGAGATTTTCCCTTCACAATGCAGTAAGGGATTTCCATCTTTCTGCACAATGCAGGAAGCCAGACAACCAATTCAATGGGGTCTACATCATGAGCAATGATCACCAATTGAGCCTTGTTCTGAAATTGGGAGTGAAAATAAGAAAAACTTAAGCTTTTTGTTTCAGAAAGATTAAAAAGTTTGTATATTTAGATGGTGGAAATGAAAAAATCAAAAACCTGTTCAATAAGATAGGTGATATGATTTAGACCATATTTGACAACAATGGGCTTCTTGGCTTCAACTGTCTTTCCTTCAGATTCAGCTTGAGCTCTTTTCAGAAGTCGTTCCTTTTTTGCTGCTTTATCCTCAGGTCTGTACTTGAGAAGCATCTTGAACAAAGTTGTTGCTAAGTATTACATAAAAAAGAGCTCTATGATCAATAGTTTATAAAACCAGACAAATAAATTGTCTTCAAACGTTAATACAAAACTTAAGCTGATTATAGACTTTGAGATAAAGGAAGGAGGATATTTGTGAGATAATATCATAGATGATTACCTAGATTCTTGTCGAGGGTCTTGGTGAACTGATTAAGAGCAGGTGGAACCTTCAAACGCTGCTTGAGAATCCTCCTCTTCCTCTGAATACGAACAACTTGTGGCCATCGCACAAATCTGTGAAGATCCTTCTTCGGAGGCAATGCTCCACCTATGCCGAATTGTTTCGACCTTTTCTCGAACAAAGGGTTGGCTACCTTCTCCTGGAGTGAAAAGACATCGAATTAGGAAGCGTGAATCAAACAATATAAACGAGTTCAGAACATGCTTAAATCATAGGCAGCGACTGGTTGTAAACTAGAAACGTATACTAATCTAAGTAATCATACCGTTTTCTTCTTCGTCGCGACTGCCTTCCCACCCTTTTTTGGAGCCTTCGAGAAAACAAAATCAAACAAACAGAGTCATGTCATAATCAAACAATAGAAAATGAGAGCTGGTGAAAAGAACATACGCCTTTAGGAAACACAATAGCAGGAAACATGAAACTATAACGATTAACAGATATTGAAGATGGAGTGGCTCACCATTGATGAAAGTTGGGGATCCGAAGTTCCAATACAGCGACGAGAAGGTAGACGATGGAAGATGGGGTTTTTAGGGTTTTTTACGCAAATCTAGAGTGGGCTGGGCCGGTGGGCCTTGCTCTGTTTTCCCAAAAATCAACTAAAGGGTTTTTTTTTTCTTTTCTTTTTTTGGCGGTTAGAAATTTATATGTAAATATTGTTTTTTTAGCAAAATAAACTCTCCGAATAAATGAATATATTTTTTCTTTTATATGGAAATGAGTAATAACCGATATCTATTTATTCAGAACATGTTGAAAGTTAAAATTATAGATGACCATATTAAAAAATTAAAAAAATAAAATGTTAATAACATAAGTAATAATTTGAATGGAAACAACCAAAACACCGTCAAAGTATGTGTGATAATCTAAGTCGGGGATTTTGATTTTTCAGGTTCATAGGTTTGGGTTCCAAACACCAAGAGGGAGATGGGGTATGGGGTATGGGGATGCTTCTAATTTATCTACATGCTAATTCACAAGTCCTAGATGAACATGATTTTCATGTGATATTTTTTTTCCTGGTTTTTCAATTTTTGTGGTGATTTGTTTTATCTTTTCTCGATGTCGTTTCCACGTGTTGCCATCATCAGAACCAACGTCTACGTGTCGGGTCCAAATCCCTCCATCGCCACTGCCATTAAGTACAGCATCTTCTACTACCTTCCAGTTCATTTCACACACCCAACGCTCCTCCAAACCACCACCTTTAGCGATTCAATTTGTTACTTCTGCTTCTTCCTCATCTTCCTCTTTAGCGATTCAATCTGTTATTCTTTGCTTCTGACTCTGTCTACCACATCTCTCATCTTCGTCACCAGCGTCGTCAATGGCTACTCAATCTGTTACTTCTGTTTCTTCCTCTTCCAACATTCACCCGCCGCCACCACCACCACCTAAGGAGTCGCTCGGCAGCCGTTACAAGTTCATCTGGCCTCTTCTTCTCGCTGCCAATTATTCCATCGGAGGTA